CATCTTCACTTCCAGGAATGCTAGCCTCCATTATACAGTTTATAAGAATTGCTGCATATACTTTATTTTCATGAATGTTGCCTCATATCACAAAGAACATGTGATATTTGTCCTTTTGGGATTGGCTTATTTCACAGAGCATAATGCTTTCCAGTTGAAGCCATTTTATTATAAATGGTAGAATTTCGTTGTAGGAATGGCTGTGTAATATTCCATGGAGTACATATATCACCAGTTCTTTATCCATTTCTCTGTTGACAGGCATATGGTTTGTTTGCACGTCTTCACTATTGTGGATTTGCTGCCGTAAATACAGGGTTGTAGATCAATTTCTCATATCAGATTTCACTTTCTTTTGGTATATTCACTGGAGTGGGTAGCTTGGTCATGCATTACATCAATTTTCAGTTGTGTTAGCACTCTCTATACTGACTTGCATAGTGGCTGCATTACCTAACCTCCCACCAACAGTGTACAAGGGTAGGTTTTTTTCCTCATATGCATGCCAGCAGGTGCTACTAGTAGATTTCTGAAAGGTATTAGGTGGAACCTCAATGTTGTTTTTATTTGTATTTCTGTAATAGCTAGGGAGCCTTAGTGTTTTATCATTTGTCTATTAGCCATTTGAATTTGTTCTTTTGAAAAATACTTGCTCATTTCCTTCATCCATTTCTTAACATGGTTGTGTTGTTATTGCTGAGTTTCTGAAGCTCTTTGTAAACCCTGTTTATTGGCCCCTACATGTTACATATTACACAAGGATCTTTTTTTTTCCCATCTGTTGGTTTGCCTCTTCACTTTGTTTACCATTTAGAACAGACTTCCTTACCATCTAAAGCCATACACCTGCCTGAGGCTACCTGTGTTGCTCACTTAAACTGCATCGCTCATCTCTTATTTTTGCAGTCTTCCCTGCTGCCTAATGTTTCACGTGAAATTTATAGAAACTTCACGTGTATGCAGCTCTCTTGGGCATCTTACAAAAATTCAAATTCTGATTCAGTCAGTATAAAGTGGGGTCTGAGAATCCTCTCTCCACACAAACTCTAGGTTGAAGCCCTACTGGGGCCCTGAGAGTCGAAGAACTGACGTTGGGGTGAAAGGTGAAATAAGCAGAGGCATTCTCAAACTTGATGCTACAGCAGTCACACTTGGAGGAGCTCCTAGCTTACTGGCTCTCACCTCAGAACTTCCTGATTCAGCCAATCTGCGGGGAGGAACCAGGAATTTGTATATCCAATAAGATCCTTTTAGTGCAGCAATCCCATTTCAAGTGCTGATGAATCAGGGTTTAAGTTGAACATCAAGGAGGTGAGAAATACAGCAGATAGAGTAGCATATCCTTTTTATAAGATATATCCTTTTATAAGATACTAAAATGAATGGAATGTTCTCATGAAAGTGGATTTCCAGGGAGACCGGATTATACACATGTGATTCACTCCTTAATTGTTAATTTTCTATATATTTTCAGAAATGCAAAGTGAAATTAGAAAATGATTGGAATTCTACTTTGAAATAGAGGGCTTTTTAAAGTTTCTTCCTGAATTCTGCATGGTAGAAGCTAGCTATGCATAAATTCCAGGTAAAATCATACCTATCTCAAACAAAGCTTTGACATTTCTTTATAGTGTGTTAATATCATTTTAACTTCCTCAAATATGGACCAGCAATATTCTAAAGTTGGGAGTATTATTGCATGCTGGAAGCTACATTTTAAAAATTCTGAAATTTTACCTATGTTCAGACAAAATACAAGAGGAAGGCAATGTTTGATTTTAATTTTTTTTCTCTACGCTCAGGGCAAACAGTGGTCAATTCTGCAGCTTGATTTGCTCAAGGGTATTTCACTCCCATCAATAAAAAAATTTACTCCATAAAGGGATCATCTTAAAATTATTTGTCTTTACAAACTGTATTTTGTAAATGTTATTCACACATTTGCTTTCACAAATGCTGTTATACACTAATTCAGGTACTCACATATAGATAGAAAAATAATGATTATCTTGTTGATAGTAATAAATTGAGGTAATAAGAGCATGGCTTTTATTTTTTATGTAAATACTATTTTTTTAGATAGTTTCATATTTTATTAGTACATACAAAACAAGAGTTTATCCAATGATTCTCCCTGATTTACCTCTCTTTTGTTTTCATTTTACTACAAAAGCAGAAAAACAAGAGATAGATGTTGTGTCTAGCCACACGTAATGTTCTTGCAGATTAATATCAAAACAGAAAAAAAATGGAACTAGAAAAAATACAACATTCTAGTTTGACTTGGGTTGTTCAATTAGTACAGCATATCCTATAACTAACATATGAAAAGGGAGGTAGCTTTGATGTAATAATAATCCTGTAAACTAAAACATATGTATTTTATTATTTTTATTTATATACATAGCACAACAGAGAGTGAGAGAGAGAGAAATCTACCTGCCAGTTCACTCCCCTCATGCACACAAGAACTAAGTGTAGAAGCAGGAACTACATCTGGGTTTCCCATGTGGATGCAGGAACAAGTTCTTGAGCCATCATCTTCTGCTTCTCATGACATGCCTTAGCAAGAAGCTGAACAATTAGTGGAACTAGGACTTAAATCCAAGCCAATCAGGACTCCAGTGTCCGATGTGGTTGTCCTAATCAGTGGCTTAAAAGGCTGCACCCCAGTCCTATGCCATAACACTCACTTCAAAATATTGCTTTTGAACATTTTCCAAATAACATAGTGTATAACATTGTCTACAATTAAACCTATACATAGACATCAAGTTTTATAGAGTAGTGTTAGTAAGTTCAGGAGGAAGAATTAAAAGTTCAGCGAGGTTAGAAAGTGTTTATTGACCCGGTGCCGTGGCCTAGCAGTTAAAGAAAGTGTTTAATGAAATTCACTTACAAACATTACGTCAATTTTCTTTCAGGTGTCCCATTTTCATGTGAATTATATGAGATATGAATCAACGCAAGGAAAATACAGTCTTTATTTCCTTCACTATAAAATCAAATAAAAATTATTCATATAATTTAATTCTAAACACAATGTTTTATTAAAAGGAATTTATAAACTATCTAGTGAAATTTCATCAATTGCAAAATTAATATTTCATTTGGGGTATAAACAGAGAATGACTTTGAATGGCATATATAAATTACAGAGCAGTAGTTTTTTCATAAGGCAAATTTTAATATTATTTTCAAAACCTTTTAAACAGCCAAACTGCCTAGCCCAAATTCATTTCCCACACTTTCTAATATTAGAATTTTTATCTTGTCACCAAGAAATTAACAATACTTCTACATTCAGCTATAAATTTTATTTCTCACTTAAACAAACATAAGAAAAATATGAAAACAAATATGTGAGTTAATATTTGGCCAATGACTTTTAAATCCTCAGAGGACATTCTGTACATACACTTGGAAGCATAACATTATATTTCCAAAATTTGCAACATTTTTAAATTGTACAATTAACATTATTATCAGAGTTATGTATACATCACTAACCAGAAATTTTAATATTCTCCCCTAATTTTCTTATAATGTCTATAAAAATCATACATTACAGATATCCTTGAAAATAAAGTTTGAATTATTGAGCTCTTCTTTTTCTTTTTCTTTTCTTGCATTACACAACTCAGGTCAGGGAGTACTTTAGACACTAGAAACTTTACTTGAAAATAAGACTTGTCACAAAATACTTAAAAAAAAAAAACACTAATTTTCTCTGCAAAAATTAACCAGTTAGTAATTAAAAATAAAGTTTTTATCTGAATGAAAAACTTCCATGTAATGTTATTACTTTGAAATCTTTTGTTTGCCACAAATGGCTATAACAAATACTATTTATGCAAAGAGTTTCTTTTCAGTTAATAAAACATAATATTCTATCAAGCATTATAACTTTAGAATAATGTATTTGCTCATGTGTTTTCTCGATTAAATATTGTTCAGTAAAAGTTTGGCCAGTGACGATGTGATACCAATTTTCAACATACACATTCCAGATTTATTTCTTATTTTCTAGTAATTGTATATGTAGCCTAAGTGTTAAGTTACAGTATGGATGACAGCTCAATTGCTTGTCCTGTTGCTATGTATTAGGGTGCTGGCTGGCATGAAGCCTTCAGGTTAAAACTCCCAGAGATGATGGGCCAGTTTCAAACCAGAGACTGAATGCCCTTGCGAAGATATTTATAACTTTGGAAAATTAATAACCTACCTTGCTGAACAAACAAAACATAATTGTGAGTCTAAGTCAACCTACAGACATCGAGATTGCAATTCTTTTCCTGAAAATCCTCTGACATAGTCGTCCTTGGCAAATTTCTGCTGCTCAGTTGTGCTGGGAGCTTCTTCCAGTCCAGGTTTTTCAAGAAATCCTAGAAACTCTTAAGGAACTAATAAGATACCCACATGGGCAGAGAGCTAAGGACCAAGTTCCTAAAGAAAGCAGTTTTGGAAGTACCCTTCGGATGGAGTAAAACTTTGCTGAAAAAATGAGCTTTGTGAATAAACTGAAGACTGCACTTAAGAGTAGTTAAAAAGTTCTTTTAAAGACAAGTAGAGAGAAAGCAATTCTCTGGCACTACAGAAAACATTCCTAAAAGCACAAATCTCCTCAATATTTTGAAGAAAATATTTGATTCATCTTAAAATGAAAATTCATTTTTAACGAACCTCTGCTATACCCAGCTCTCCCACATACTCTTCCACAGCAAACAGAGTAGATTAATGTTACAATAGCAGGTGCAGGGCAGCACAGAGTCCCAAAAACGTAATAGAACTGTGCATGCAAAAGAAAATTAGCAAATCAATCTTTGTTTCCAGGGAATGTTGAAGTGATGTCAGACCAGGAGAATTTAGGGGAGCCCTGCATTTATAGCATCAGTGTATACACGATGCAATTAGCACGCATGTTAACTGGACACACCATGGTTTGAAGTCCAATCAACTCTTGTACGTATTTGTAGAGGTGGCCGTGTTGAAAGGCACACTTATTGCTTTGCACACGTCTTTGCTAATGTCCTAAATTTGGGTTCCAGATGATCCAGAAACTCTAACCCTTCTTCTTCCTGTCGGTCGCTGCAGCAGCCTACGGAGCCGGCCATAGATCCCTTGCCTTCGTAATTATACGAACGCACATGGTCTTCTGAATGCTTGTGCTCCTCAGCTTGTCGACACAAATACACCTTCTGTATCAAAAAAGAGCACATTTTATTATTTTTTTTTACAAAACACCTAAACATATTAGCATAAAAATGATGTCTTTGATTTACCTTTCACTGTTTAATTTTTAATCAGAGTGTGTCCTCTAATGGATTCCTACACAAAAAATGCACATGATTGGTCTGTATTATATTCATTCTTAAAAAGATATCAAGTAAATAAATGCTCCTAGTGAACACAGTCATGAATACTAAGGTGACACATATATCATATAACTCATTTACCACTTTCCATTTGAATATAAAGATTGTATGTACTTGAAATGTGCCTCCTAACTTCCTCACATATTTGGAGGAAACCAATATAGGCCATAAAACTGTCAAATAATCATAGTATAGTGCATTAAACTAGCTAATATCAAACTATTGATGTGAACCATAACAACAACACATGGAACTAAAACCCAAAATAAAAGCTTAACCATATAACTGCTTCATTTTGATAACTGGGGCTTCAGAATCACACAGAAAATTCAAGCTCATTCAAAAAGGTTCATTACTACCCTTAGCTTTACTCCTGTGATTGTTCTGGCATTTTACAGGGAATAAATCATCAATCTTATATTCTTCCTAAGGATACGTACATATGGCACTCCTAAGACAATGTTTCCAAGCACCATATTTTAAAATTTGAACTTTAAATAATCTTTCGGCTCTTTGGGCTTGAACCTGACTTTGTGTCTACTCCAAACTGAACACGAAAAAGACACAAAGTTCCAGATGTATAAGGAGGGAGACATTTGGAAATCCTGGATCATAAATAGTGTTTGGCTTTCACATCACAGAGAATCGAAAATATTGGAACTTACTTCGCCAAGCCTAGGTTGGGTGAAACTCTGCCAGTCAGTGTATGTGTATCTGCCAGTGTCCATGACGCCTTGCACTGCTCCCTTGCTGGACTCCAGGGTCTGATGCCCGCCTCCTCTGCTGAGATCCACCGGGTAGCCTCCTTTGATCATTTCAAAACTTTGCTGTGTTTTGATTCCCTGGCCACCAAGAGTACCCACTGACATGGTTGTGTCACAAATGTTGGATGTCTGTGTGGGGAGCCTAATATTGGCGTCCTAAAAATAAAGTTAGAGTTATAAATAGAATGAATCAAACTAAACCTAGAAGATCGCTTTCATTTCTTTGCCACTGGAGGCAAATCACTTAGCTGTTTTTCCTTACTTCCCATATGCAAAATTAGCATAATTGTAGACCCGATGGAGTTCCTGGTTTCAATCTGGCACAGCCCTGGCTGTTCTAGGTATTTGGGAAGTGAACTAGTGTTTGGAAGCTACCTCCCTCTCTTTCCTTCTCTCTGTATGCTACATTGCCTTTCAAATAAAAATAAATGCACCTTTTTAAAAAATAAAATGTGCATTTGGAACTCTGTAAAGTCATAAGCATTTCTGAGGCATAATTTATTAGTATTAGTGTTGCTATATTATGTCATAATCAAACAGTTAATGGATCACCATATGATCGAAAAGGGAAATTAAACCATATTCACCATCACTTCTTCTCCAGGTCCTTCAGTATTTGATATAATTAAATTTTGCTGTGCTACATCTTCTGGAAAACATTTCTTAGCTGTTCTCTTAGCAGTGACACAGAAACATGTAAACAGAATACCTTAAAATAAAAAGATTAATGTAACAGTGATTTTTCCACTCCTAAATATATCAAATAATCTGATCGTATGATTGTTGAAACATTTCTTGGCCGGATCTTTTAAATTTCATTCCATAAATTGGGATTTTTCTTAGATCTCAAACTTTAAAACAATATTTTAAATACATCAGTACAGAGTCTATCTCTCAGATTAATAATAGCTCTAGTCCCAAGTCCAAGATTAACTCATATATATACACATATATATATATATATCCCGCCATTCTTCAACATTGCAGACTAAATTTCAGAGAATATTATTAAATTTAAAATCATACAGTAACACTTGAAATTCTGAGCACAATAAAACTAAGAACATTAGGCATAAAAACAGACAAGAAAGACAATTATATAAATGGGTCCTTAGTTTCAAAAGTGTACATCAAGTTGTATAATACTAATAGGAACTTGCAGGTTAACATAAAATCCAAACTGGAAATGAGCTGGAACATAGTAGATCATATGGAAGCAGAGAGAGAGAGAGACAAATGGGCAACATTTTCAATACTTTCATGTTTGCAGAAAAACAACTTGAAGTCTTAGACCTATTGTACATTACTCTCTTACTGGTATCATATGCCATTGTTCACTTATTGGAAACTTCTTAAGGTATAGGTTAAATCACTGTATTAATAACAGAACATAAGCATCTAAACAAACTTTGCCCTGTTCTCATTAGTTCCTTCTTTATTTATATAATTTGCATCTGTAAACATAGGTGCTCAAAACACTATGATGTTACAGAGGAGGAAATCCTCATTATATTCTACAAAGTATTCAATTTGCACATAAAAGTGAATATGAAATCATTGTCTCAATAATTTGAATTCTGCTTTAAATGCTGTAATATTGTTACAATGTGCTTATTCTCTGAGAGAATCCCTATTAAAGTAGACAGAAGATGTTGAAAAAGGACACATTTTCCAAAGGGTATTGGCATCCTGATTAAAAAGAACTATCTTCTTTGTTTTCCTGAACATTAGCTGTTATTTCAGCAAACATATTCTAGATATGAATACTTACATAATAACAAAGCAGCCCCCAGAGCCATGGAAAGAATGGCCCATTTTCCAAGTACAACATTTGGCTTAACATCTCTTGGTTCAGGACTCATTCTACATTCAGATGGAGTAGTACAATCACATATTCTCACCGATAATACATGTTTTGAACCAAGACCATGTCTGTCTTGAATTTGGATAGGTACAAAATAATAGTTATAATCAAGAGTTTGCCGTTCACGTAGTAAGAAATGTTTACCTAGATGGGAAACAATAAATAGCATGTATAAAAAATAAGATCTTTTAGTGGGAATATTATTCCTTTGTGGCATTCTTAAGGGGAAATTAAAACAGAATAAATGCTAGTTGCTACATTCCTGTCTTAAGAATTATTTTAAGTTTTCACAAAAAACAGAAAATTATATTACTTTAGACTCACATTAGGCTAATTCATGCTTAGTGGGTTATTCAATTGTTCACCTAAATGAATACTTGTTTCTTTAAGAGATACTCAGAACAAGAGTCTAAGATTACTATAAATACACTATTTTAAAAAGTAAGATATCCCTTTTTTAGGATCAATAAAATAATTTCCTAAAATGAATACACATTTATTGTGATAAACTAGCATGAAAATAATGTTTACCAGCCATTTTAAGTCCATATTGATTATAAAATTTCCAATTACTTACCATTTTTTGGTTCTACTGTCCAAAGTTTGTTGGCAGAATTATCCAGAAGGAATTGAAAAGGTGGGCCATTATCAGGCCCATCTGGGTCTACAGGTTCAAGTACAGCATAATCCTTTTCATGTCGACAAATAGTCACATCTGTATCAATTCCTGGTGGGTGATCATTAACATCGGCCACAAACACTACTAATGTCCCAGTGCAGGAACGGCCAACTAAAATAAATTAAAAACAGGCGGCATCTTCACTTCAAAATTGGCTTATTTTCAACAATTGATGTGACATACAATCACATCTGTTTTCTAGCAGCTTTCTTAACTTAAGTTTGACTACCTATTTCCCAAATCTGACAGCACTACTACGAGATAGCAACACTTTACTCTTTCTTAATGACTGGTGGCTGGATCAAAGCATCCCTTTGGCTGTTCTCCAAAACTAAATGATATGAGGTTATGAGGTACATAACAACAGAATAATATGTTGGAAACAAAATTGATTCTTACAGCTTTATATGGAACACAAATAGGTATCTTTGGAGTGTGAAGACTCTTCTTTGTTCATCAATTCATTTCGAAGTTTCTTCCTTTCCTCACCATCTTCACCTCAAACTTGTAAAATTTCTCATCAAACTCACAAATTACTCTCCATCTTATGTTCGTGGTTACATTCTGTTGTCACTGCAACAGTAATGTCAGGTCCTCAGGAAACTGATTTCAACTTCTAGAGTTGATGGTGGCCATGTTCTCTCTCTCTCTTTTCACTACGTTTTGCTCACATATTGGTTAGTACATTGAACTGTGAACATGTGACGTAGTGACATATTGCCTCATCTTCCTCTTAACAGCACAGAGATCTACCTGGCCAATTACAAGTCAATATTACTGTATTTAACATAATGTGGTTGTTGAAATTTTTTTGTCTAATTTGATTGAATAAACCAGAAGTCTAAATCAGCACCTTCATCCACCTTTAATTTAATACACTCTTGACAATGGAACTTGTTGACAAACACACCAATTTTTCATCAAGTCTACTATCTACCTAAGATTTCACATGCAAATCTCAAAGTACATTTCTAATTAAAATAGTGCCCCAACAGTTGACCTGGTAAAGAAAGTTAAGTCATCAGACAGGTTAAGCTGCCTCTTGGATGCCTGCATCCTGTGTAAGAGGACCATTTTGAGTCCTGGCTGTGGGGAGCCATGCAGTTGGGTCGGATGGCATGGGTGTGATGAGCACTGCTCCTCAGTTAGCAAGGCTGCAAGGAGTTTCTGGCTGCGAGGCAAGGCCCGGCAGAATGTCTCTGGTCACCTCATTGCTGCCTCACCCCATTGTATGGACACTCAATCACCTCTCTGATGTCTCATAGAATTCTTCTGAGGGTGTTGTTGTTGTTTTTCTGCTAATGTGAAGTGATTCCTGTAACTGGTATGACACCTCAAATTGATCAATCATGTTATGATAAAAACACCTTTAGTAACGGTAAGGCTATGACACACAGCTAAAAGTATACAATAGTACAATTGAGCCCACTATGTTTCCAAACATCCTGTTATGTGCCCACTTTTGTCCTAAAGTTTGCCCTAGTATAAATAATGTTTTCCTTAAGAAATGGCTTGATAATATCTTGCAACAGATGGCAATCATGGAGGTACAAAGAGTTTGTTTACCATACACCTCGAACTGTTACAACACATGATATGACACATTTAGTTTCTTACCACAAGAAAGCAAAAGTATATGGGGCATCTTTTATAAGGAAATAGATGTGAACCCCCTCAAAATGGTTTAAAATCTTTATCTTATATTAGCACTTATATTTAGGGAAAGAAACAGTTTATATAGATGAAAGAAAGTTTCTTGTAAAGGCCCTCTGTTTGTAGATTGGCTGAGCTGCCTTGATCCCTTTCACTGCCCTTTAACAAAAGAATGAAAAACAATTGAATCAGCACTAGGTGAAGGTGATGGTAATTAATGCATGATTTGATTATAAGATTTAGCAAAGAATTTATGTTATATGCTTTTGTAAAATTCTTTCATTTATGATCTTTTAATTCTATATTCTTAATATTTTAATCAATATTAATTTGTGTTTAGTAAACATTGATTTTGGGTATAAGTAAACTACTTGTCACTATGTAACTGCATGTGCTGCCAACCGTGGAGTTCCTGGCTTCAGCCAGGTGATTGCAGGCTTCAATGAGTAATGGTTTGTTAAAAATGTTTTCTTTGAAATAGAAAAATATTTTTTAGGATTGCTTCTTGCATTTTCATAACCATGATGTAATGAAAAATGAAACAATTGGATGTTGTGCAAAAGCTTGTGATGCTTTATGTATAAAGAAGGCAACTTTTCTGAGTTGTCCATTATGAGCATCAAGCCATAGCGGTCAGTGTCTTATCTCTTCCTATCATCTCGCCGATCCACACATCCTTTGCAAGCTCTCAGTCAGCTGGAGCTGGTCTCCAGCACCTGGCTAATCTACTTCTGATCTAACTCCCTAATAAGGTGCCTGGGAGAGTTAATAATGGACAAAGTGCTTCAGTTCCTGCCACCCAAACGGGAGGCCAGAAGGAGATCCTGCCTCCTGGCTTCAGGTTGGCCAACCCTGGCTACTTCAGCTACTGCAGGCACAAACTAGCAGGAAGTTGCTCTCTCTCTCTTCTTTCTCCCTCCTTCTCTGTGTAAATATAATTCTAAAATAATGTCCATTATTATCATTTGCATTTAAGAGAATACAAAGGTCAACTTCTTCCATTTTTTTAAGATAATAAAAACATCAAATAGCATAGTATCAAAATTGAAATAAATACAAATTATGTATTTTCCCAATTTCATCTAAGTTTTAAAACATGAATGTTAATTTATCATAAAATTGCTAAAATTATACACAGATACAATTCATTTTTTCCTTTTTAGTGTAACATATATCGTATAGTATATTTTAAGAAATTTTTTCTGTTGAATAACCACCAAATAATAACCACTTGTTCAAAGTGGTTTTTAAAACTAATTACTCATATTAACACTTTTAGAACTACCTGAGCAAGGCTTAGTATATCTTGAAATAAAGGAGAGGTAGCACTATAAAGAGAAGAAATGTGTAATAGCATATAAGTATTTTGTGAGTGTTAGAAAATTATTAGTAAACATAAATATGAGTGACATCCAAATGAACAAACTAAGAAAAGTGATGTGGTGGATAAGATTTTGCAAGTAAAAAAATTTAGTGTTGGCAGGGACATTATGAATTTACCTTTTAAAAATTAAGCAAAAATCCTCATTATGGAAAAACAGAAATTACAAAAATCTAACAAAAACACATCAACCATGGGAAAATAAATTAAGGCTCATTTGTTTCTACAATCAAAAAACATTTATCAAGTACTATTATATTCCATCTCAATTTCTGTTTCATCCTGCCAATAAAGTCAGAATGAAAGATACTGGAAATCACTCTAAATGAATGTCAAGTCAGAAATGAAAATAAGGTCTTAGATATTTCCAAAAACTACAAAATGATGCCAATAAGTTTCTATCTTGCTTCCAGATAAGAGAGCTAAATCCAAGCAATTTTTGATACTGGTTGAACATTATAACAATGTAGATGTGCTTGTGTGTTTATAAATATCATCGTCATTAACTGAAAATACATTTGGGGTTAACAATCTCAGCTCATCATGCTTCAACAACAGAAATTCTGGGAAACAGTAATTATCCATCGCTAACTAAATGTGTCTAATAACCAGAAGATTATGGTGTCATGTATTGGCCTTCTGCATATATGCATGTTCTCAATGAATTGTCAGATTTTCAGTTCTTCCTTATTAAACTGTAATATACTTCTTAATTTCCTACATTTTGTTCTTGTGCTCTTCAAACTATTTAGCCAAAGTATTTACCATTTCGATCTAGTAATTTCGGAAATTCATCATATAGGATCCAAAAATAAAAACACATTTTGTTTAAACAATCTTTTGTATTAAAACCAATTGTTGTGAACCCTGAATTATGAGATAGTATGTCAAGGCATCTCTTTGTGGTACTGATATCTTTTATGGGCATTGGTTCATAGCTCGCTGCTCCACTTCTGATCGAGATCCCTGGTAACAGCCTGGAAAAGTGGCAGGAGATAGCTCAAGTGTTTGGGTCCCTGTCACCTACGTAGACCAGCTGGAGCTCCTTACACCTGCCTTCAACCTGGTTTAGCCCTGACCACTAAAGTCACTTGGGGAATGAACTGCTAGAAAAAAAAAAAAAAGATCTGTCTCTTCCATTTTCTTTCTCCCTGTTTCCCTCCCTCTTTCATTCCCTCTCTGTGTAATTCTTTCAAACAAATCAATATATTTTAAGGAGAAAAAAAAAGTGCTTCCCAAACGCACTGGGCCTCTGGGATTGCAATGAACTTCATATTCTGTTCCTGGGAGGGCACTGAACTCTCAGAGCAGTGACAATGAACAGCATCTGCATTAAAGAAACACAGGCCAAAGTCTGAGCTAGATGCAACGTCAAGGAACAGTTTACCAAATCAAGGAACCCCTTCACAAAATTGAGTTCATATTCGAACAGTAAGAACAGAATGTATATGAGAAGCCATGAACATACCCTTTCTTAGAGAAAATAAAGTCACTTGTGATAATAGCATGTTATTCCCAGTGCAGGAAGGTTGAAAAGAGAACTGAACAAAGACTAGTTGGAACTTTCACAGAAACTGTCATTGCAATGCCCTTGAAGTGTTTACAGAAACTGAGTTTCAAACTGCAGGAACAAAGCCATTTTAACTCAAAAGTGTGACAATGCTTTCAAAAGTGACAGTGGGGAAGCTGGCCTGACTGACCAACAAGATTGACACAATACTTCCGGGTATTTTAAGAGTCTCTTGTACTATTTAGTTTGTAGTTTTACAATGTAGATAATATATTAGCATGGTAGTACATGTGTATAAAAACAATGGTACAGAATTTTAGCAAATTAATGTTTTTAAACATATATTTAAACACATTACAACTGGTTTATTAGCAGTTTTTTTCTAAAGGGTTCTAAGATCTTAAATTTGCTAAATGTAAAGACATTTTTTTCATAGAACATATTCTAAAATTAACCTTGGAGAGCGATTCAAACCACATGAAATGATTTGGCCATTGCTGTAGAAAACTATTTATCTTTCATTAGCAGATACTCAGAAAAATCCTACATTGAACTCAACTGTCTTGTGTCAGCTGAACTCTGTAAACGAATTCAAATTATAAAAATGTAAACTTGTGTTTCTGAATACAACAGCAAACCTGGGGTATGATGTAATTTTCTAAGCTGAAATAAAATGAGTCTCAAGACAGAATTTGACCATTCACTACCCCACAGTTTTGCTTAGCCTACATTAGCCTACAGTAGCTGCTTTCCAATAAAGTGAGAAGTCACAATGAAAATATTGTTTGCATTCAATTTTTATCTGCAAATAAACAGATTTCATCCCAATGTCATGAAAAAAATGAAGAAGGAAGGAAGAGTGTGGATGGCGAACGCAGGCAGGAGAGAGGAATCAAAGGGTGGGAAAGGAGGTTACATTCCTACATCTGTATTGCGAAACCGCAAAATTTGTTCAGTTTATATAAATAAAATAGGTTGAAAATGAGGGATGGAGGACCTGAAGGGAGGGGGGGGACTCTTTATACTTACTAAAATGTATAATGGAAAATAATAAAAGTTATATATATATAAACCTGATATTTTATATTGTACATTTAATTTTATTTCCAGAAAAATAGCACTTACCTGAATCCATTGCAGCTATGGTAACATTATATTGGTCGTTTTTTACAAATTTCGATTCTCTATCTAGTTGCTTTTGAGTTATTAAATTGCCAGTGTTCTCATCAATATCAAACCAATTATCTTCATCTACTAACTTCATATACCTAATATGGGACATCAAATATAAATAACCAAATAAAAAAAAGAACATAATCTTGAAATTTGTCATTTTGAAAAATACATCCAAATTTCTTACATTTGAAGTTAATTTGAACCATAACTAAAGTTCAGAACGTTTTACCTTAAGCCTTCACCACTGCGTGTTTCTGGGTCCAGTGCTTTGTATCCAAGCAGTTCTGTGCCTGCTGGGAGGCCATCTTTGCTCTGCACAACTTTCACAGGTGGCTGGCATTCAGGACCTTCATCACTGTCCTTAATGTTGACAGTGACAGTTGTGGTGCACATTGTGGGAGGTTGTGAGTTGGCAGTTTTAGAGAACTGTGCTTCATTAAGTACGCCAACTTGCAAGATAACTTGCCGATTGACTTCGTAGTTCAATGGCTGCACAATAAACATACTTTCAGCAACACATTTAATTAGGTAGAGGAGTTATGCTGTTGCAGTTTAAGCGTTATCAAAAGCTGGTGTTAACAAAGTTGAAGATAGTTGGCTTCCTAAATGACAAAGACTGTCAAATGCAAATTGCTCGACTGTGAATTATTGACGGTTCAACCAAAAAACTTGGTGTCGAACCTCCTGTTTTTATTTTTATTCAATTTTCAAAATATTACTTGAAATAAAGAATAAATAGCTAAAAACAATAATAGAACAAAATATTTATGTAAATCAACCAAAGTCACATTAGCATCCTTTTGCACTATTCTAGTTGGCAGATGTACACAAATTATTCTTACATCACCATACAAAGTTAAGTTAGAATGGTTTAAAAGATAGCTTAATTGTTTATTTACCTTGACAACACATAACACTGCTTCATTTGTGTTTGGATCTGTGCTGATTTTGAAATTCCCATTTTCATTCCCCTGAATAATTGTGTATACAGCCCTTGATTCGGGAGTGTTTGGCAAATCCAGATCATGTACTGACATTCGTAAAATCTCAACATCGATTCTGTTTTCTTCTACTTCTGCCACATACTGAAAAAGAAAAAAGACTCTTGTTACTTCAACTTTATAGCTTTAACATGAAAAGTTAAAAAGAAAATGTAATATGGAAATGTATAATGATATATTGGGAAACAATATGAATTTGAGGCACAGCCTGTCTCCTCTTTGTAGACATGGTGAACACCTAACAAATGATTTATATTAACATTGTAAGCAGTATACGAATACAGCATCTATAACATACTAGTTTGTAATTAGCATTATAAGAATGTAACATCCAGGGCCCGGTGCAGTAGACTAGTGGCTAAAGTGGGCGCCAGTTCTAATCCCAGTGGCCCCACTTCCCATCTAGCTCCTTGCTTGTGGCCTGGGAAATCAGTCGAGGACAGCCCAAAACCTTGGGACCCTGCATCTGCATGGGAGACCCAAAAGAAGCTCCTGATTCCTGACTTCAGATCAGCTTAGCTCTGGCTGTTGCCGCTACTTGGGGAGTGAATCAACAGATGGAAGATCTTCCTCTCTGTCTCTCCTCCTCACTGTATATCCAACTTTCCAAAACAAATAATAAATAAATCTTAAAAAAAAGAATATAACATCTATAATATACTAGTTTATTATAAATTAATCTTATATTTACTTTTGATTCGCTGTTAAATACTTTAAGGGGAAGTTATTTCCCTTTCTGGAGAAAATTTTCAAAGACTTGTTTATTTGAAAGTTAGAATTACTGAGAAAGAGAAAGAGAAACAGAAATGCTGAAGCCAAAAGCCAGGAGTTTTGTCATAGAATCCTACGTGGGTGGTAGGGGCCCACGCATCTGAGTCGTCTTTCACTGCTTATCTAAGGCTATTAGTAAGGAGTTGGGTCAGAAGTTGAGTATGGTGGGCATCACAGGCAGAAGGCTTATTCTCTCTAAACCACAATGGTTCCCTTCACCCTCTTTCAGGAGAAATTAAATTACAGTGCAACCCTCCCTCTGCAAAAGACACACTATGCGATTGCTGAAGCGTAAGATGTTACAAGACCAAAGAAAGCCATTAATCAGAATCTGTTAGATGTAACATGAATTTATAAAGGAAAGATAGTGATTAGAGAGGAATAGTTCTAGTCTTGAGTCCTAATTACTTCTTGCACATGATCTTTATGAATGAGATCTTAGGTTACTTGATGAATATTCAACTTCTTCATATGAAGCACAGGAGAAGCATATTCACTCATGATGTGGGGAAGAATGAAGAAAGTTTGTGAACAAGCCTAACGCCAGATGCATGGTTTTCCTTCTTTGACTTGAGCTTTGATATCGACTAATGGCAAAAAATAGAAGGCTACTCATTCAAATTCCAGAAATAAGAATCATTTTCTGATGTTATCACGCATGTTTTTCATTGTTTGCTGCCAAAATTTGCTCATATATGATACAAATGTAGTAATGAGTCAGACTACACTGATGAGCCCATAGCATAAGACAAAAAGCTAGTCCCTTTTTAATCGTAAGAATTTGGATTTAAAGGGAGAAGTTTCTTTTTCACCACTCTGGAAAATAATCCTGGGAATCTGGTACTAGAACTTACCCATGAAGAAAGTAGTGAACAATTAACTATCAAGAATAATAATGCCTGAACATAGCTAACAGCAGGACTACTCATCATCCAGAAATAACTGACACTCCAATTTTTTTATGTAAAAATATTGTTTTTCTACTTACATTCCTTGAACTTCTACCCAAATATGCCAAAATGTGTGGTGTTACAGAGCTACCACACCCTAGGTTTGTTTTCAAAAATAAATGAATTGAGGTAAATTAATGAGATTCTTACCGATTTTTCTGTGAAATAGGGTGAATTGTCATTTTCATCCTCAAGTGAAATAGTAATTGTTCCTGTGTTACATAAACCAAAAGGTTGACCTCCCATGTCTCGAACCTCCACTATTAATTGGTAAGTATCACATTTCTGGGGAAGAGAAAGTCAAAAGAGTACATCTATGAACTTCTCTATTTTCTCTACTTTGCAATTGTCATAGCTTCTATTCAAATGATGATTATTCACAGGTTTAATATTTTTAAATTATATTTACAATCATGTACATTTGTCCAGACCCAAGGACTCTGCAGCAGCAGGAAACAAGTCCAAGGTGAATTATGGGATTGAGATGTCCTTGTAGATTGATCAGTTATAGCAAAGGTGGAATATTGATACTAGAGGGAGGCGTCCCTGTGGTGCAGCAAGGACTAGATGGCTTCCTTTGTACTTTGTGTTTTTATTTCCTGTGAATTTAAAACTGCCCAATGGTAATGCTTATCAACTAAAAATTGCATATTATTATATTCCAACAAAATAAAAATACTATTTGTAAAGCAAAAATAAGATGTACTTCAAACAATTGAGTATCAAAGTAACAGTCAATGAACTTAAAATGGAACCTTGTTTAATACCTATATAGGTATTAAATTAATATTAAATGTTTGCAGATATTTAATACCTTGTTTAATACCCATGTAGGAACAAAGGAAATTTCCAGGGAAGCCCTAACCACAATCTAAGAAAGTTTTCATAGAGAGGAAGCTGTGGTGGCCATCTTGTCATGATCAGTTTAAGTATAACTTAGTAACTGAGAGATTGATTAATCAGTTCATTACTTCTCTATCCAGTAAAGGCGTAGTTGTTGTGATGACACCTGTATCTGGATGTATAGCAAAATGCTTTGGATTATCTGGGATTTGTTGTAGGATTTTGTATTTCAGACGAGTATGCAAAGTGTCAGGTTCATCAAGGTCTACAGCAGTCACTTTTCCCACAGAAGTTCCTGTTTAGAGAAATATGGTAATGTCAAAATTTCAAATGACATATAATTAGGCTATAACCAAATGAAATCAAGGCATTGATTTTGAAGAGTTAGTTTTACAGATAAGTCAAGCAGTGTATAAATGATATCCAAACATTTCAAAGGCCTTCCCTAGATTCAAGCGATTCCTCTGAAAAATGTGATTGTGGTCTACATCTGTAAGAACAGTTCCCATCCTACGCTTAGTAATAGCAATTCTTTTGCCTTGACACCACGGTTCACGAGCCACTTTCACACTGTTTTTTATCTGGGTACTTTCTCTCTTTTACACCCCCACATGATCATCTCAATTAGAATAGTTCATGTTTTCAAATGATATCAAGGATTTCATATTTTATATTTCAATAGATATGAACAATTATTAATATATCCAGGTCATTGTCAACATAGAGAAAACAAAATGTCCTGCAAAACGCTGAGTTTTCTTAGGATAAGCCTTAGTATTCAGATATGAGTATGAGGAATGTTGCGTTAACAATCCACATACTACGAGGAGTAAATATTGCACATACACACACACACACTACAGGAAGATTGAGGCCATAAGAACAAACGGCATTTCTTGCAGATTCTTAACTTGTCATTCCCCTTGGAAAGCCTAGCTTACAATTTTGGCTGCACATAGAACCAAATCAGCTTGTTTAAGAAACAAAAATTTTTCTGGACTAGATGCCAGGACATGCAGCACACATGTTATAGATCAGGTCAGCATTTCCACACCATAATATGTTTCTGGGACCTTGAAAAATACATTAAAATTTTATAAAGGTTTAGATCACATACTATTTTACAAATGTATCTGGGACCATAAGGACGTGATGAAAATCAGAGACTGTAACATCTGTGGCACATTAGGATCATTGTGCCTTAATCATCTCATGAGCAACTTGATATGTCAACTGACTGCATGCTAAATAAAAATTTTAAATAAACACAGAAAATTCTGACATTGAAAGGTTAATGATGATAAGTAAAATCATCTTCCAAAAATAAGACTTTGGGTAATATATCCTCGAAACTCAAGCACTAGGAAAGATCTGCATAATTATGTTGACACTATTAATAAGGAATTCAATGAAAGCAAAAATCCAGTTTCCTTATGCAGTTGCTATCAAGATAGATAATGATTGAAACCTTAGGTTAAAATAAAACTAATAGCCATTGGTTATTTTGTAAGGATGATTCAGACAGACAACACCAATGCAGAAGTTTTAACAAAAACTAGTGTTGTATAAACACAGTTCAGAAAAATCAAACTCTGAATTTCAAATGCCTGTTAAAAAAATTCTTCTTGACACTATAAAATGGACATTACTATTGCTTCGTAATATCACTCTTCTTTAAACTGTTTTCTTGGATCAAATGGGAAAATTCTATTTTCCCTATAGTTAATCTTTCACATATCCTTCAATAAACAATAAGCAATAAAAACAGCAAATAAATGTAATTTAAAAATAACCTCTCATTTTGCTGGAAGCCAAGATAAATTTTGGCCTAGCTGTCACTTTCTTGTCATATTCTCTATGAATCCCTCACTAGGTCAAATAAATGGCTTCTGGGCAAATAATTTCTTCTAACAGGAAACTGAGCAACCCTTCCTCCATTACAGATTTTGTACATATACATATATAATCCAAGCACTAATCCCATCTTATAGAGAACTGAGTCAAATACATATTACCAGAATTATAAAGTCATGAGACAATATGGAAAATGTATGGAATTTTATTGTGGGGATAGACCTAAGAGTTCAGAATACTCAAAGATCAAAGATTCTTAAAGAATACCACATAATTTCTATTTATAATTGGAAAAATAATGTGTTTATAATCAGAAATCTCAAAATAAGAATGAAATGCATAGAAACTATCGAACCATTTGAATTATAACACCTAGTGAATTTTCAAAGCATCTTCAGATTGTAGCACTGTAAATGTGAACTTACCAGATCTGCAGTTTTCAGGAATGTTAAAGATGGATTTTACATTTTCAAAATAAGGAGCATTGTCATTATCATCTTCTACTTTGAAAAGCAAGTGGAGAGGATGTTCTAGTACGTAGTTATCCGGAGTTATTGCATAGGCATAGATCTGAAAGGAAGAAAAATCACTAGCTTCTTCTCCAACAATAAATTTTAAGCACAAGTATGCCTAGTGGTGAAGGAAAACATAACATTTAAAAAAAAACATCTACAACGATTCTTTAACTATGAAACAATGCAACGAAGACATGACCCACAGGCACTCCATTTCCCCTTCAGCATTATCCCTTATTGCTCTCCTGTCAGCTACAGTATTATGTTCCACGTGTTCTCTGGAGTAACCACATACTGCCTTCCCAGTTGTGTGAACAGCAGGTAAAGCCAGAGCTGTGGAACGGTAAGCTGAGCTTCCACATATAACACCAGCATCCACATGTGTCCGGTTCACACCCCAACTGCTCCACTTATAATCCAGCTCCATGCTTAAGACCTGGGAAAGCAGTGGAGGATGGACAAAGTCCTTGGGACCCTGAATCCACGTGGGAAACCCAGAAGCAGCTCCTGGATCCTAGCTTAGATCAGCTCAGCTCTGGCCATTATGGCCATTTGACAATTGAACCAGAGGATGGAAAATCTTTTTTCTTTTTCTCTCCTTCTTTCTTTAAGTTTGCCTTTCAAGTAAAAGAGTTATATGAATCTGTTTTCAAAAACTATATTTAAACAATGCTATTTATTTGTATATTTATATGTACATTTATATTTTCTGGACTGTGTTTATATAATACTAGTTTCTGTTAAAACTTCTGTGTTGGTGTTGTCTGTTTGAATCGTCCTTACAAAATGACCAATGGCTATTAGTTTTATTTTAATCTAAGATTTCAATCATTATCTAGCTTGATAGCAACTGTATAAGGAAACTGGACTTTTGCTTTAATTGAATTCCTTATTAATAGTGTAAACATAATCATGCAGATCTTTTCCAGTGCTTGAATTTCAAGGACATATTACCTAAAATCTTATTTGTTCTTTAGGTAGCTCAAGCTTCAGTTCTTTCCTCAGTTTACCTAAATTTTCTCATTTTCTAACATATATATTAGGAATATATATGTTTATACATATATTTATATATCTGTATATATACTCCATCTCAGAATATTGTATCTTTTCTTTTAAAGATTTACCTATTTTTATTGGAAAGGCAGATATACAGAGAGGAGAGACAAAGAGGAAGATCTTCCATCAGATGATTCACTCCCCAGGCAGCCGCAGGCTGGAGCTGAGCCAATCCGAAGCCAGGAGCCTCTTCCAGGTCTCCCACGTGGTTGCAGGGTCTCAAGGCTTTGAGCCATCCTCGACTGCTTTCCCAGACCACAAGCAGGGAGCTGGATGGGAAGCTGGGCACCCGGGACTAGAACCGGCACCCATATGGGATCCTGGTGCATGCTAGACGAGGACCTTAACTGCTACACTATCACACCGGGCCCAGAATGATGTATCTTGGATTCAAGGGCCAGGATTTCATGGTTTTGTTTTGTTTTTTATTTTTTCCTTTCAACTCCAAAGTTAATTTCTGCCTTTTCTTATGTAGTTTCTACGTTGAACATGCATATTAATTAGTTGTTGAATCAACAGACGTTCTTCACAGACAGGATCAATTAAACCCACCCAAAATGATCTTTGTATTATTCAGTTCTTCACAACAATTTCTCTTTCTACTTTCCTTGCAGTAATAATTTCTAAAACAAACTTGGATAAAAGGATGTCACCCATCAAATTCTTTTTTCTCTCTCACCAGCTGTAATCTGCTGTTGCAACAGTCTGCAGTTTCCAGCATTTGCATATCTCTGTCATTTGCTTTTCTTTTCTATTCCCATTTTCATCACTTTAATGTGTCTCCAAAGGAGTCCGCATGCTGTCTTTCCTGCTTGTCTGCAATCACCCAAACTGGTCATAACTTCTGTAAATCTTGTAGCACTCAAGTCAGCTTTTATTTTCATGAAACATGATTTTAAACATGGCATTCCTTAACCAGATGCCTGAGTAACCTATTTATCAGCTGCTAAAGTAATCTCAGAACTGTCACTACTGTGTTACAATACATTTCATGTCCACTGTTTTGCTGAAAGGGAAGGAATTTGCTCACAGATCCCAGGGATAGAAAGCCCTGGAACAATCCCCCATGGCCTCCCTGTCCCTACTCCCGGAGACCACTACATGACGGGATTTTCAACAGTAAAGCTTACATTGCTGTCTCCTTCAGGATGGTCTCTCCATCGTACAGAACACAGGAGTGTAACATCACGGGGTCAGCTCCTCAAGCACCACCTGCTTCATGAGCCACACCACCACCAGCTCTACCATGATCAACATCACCACCAAATCCAATATATCCAGATATCCCATTATTCAACCTTCCAAATGATCCTTTCCTTTACAGTAATAAAGCTATTGTAAATTTTTCTTTCCTAAAATCCTGCCAATTTTGAAATTTTGGGATATAAAAATGTGTAAGCTTACTCTAGTATGATTGTTGGGCTTGGTGTGATGGCTCAATTGGCTAATCCTCACATTCAAGTGCCAGGATCCCATGTGGGTGCTGGTTCCTATCCTGGTTGCTCCACTTTCTATTCATCTCCCTGCCAGTGGCCTGGGAAAACATGTCACTCTGTAACCACGTGGGAGACCAACAGGAGGCTCCTGGTTCTTGGTCTCAGATCAGCTCAGCTCTGGTCATTGTAGCCACTTTGGGAGTGATTCAGCAGATGAAAGATCTGGCTCTCCTTCTCTCTGTAAATCTGCCTTTCCAGTAAAAATAAATAAATCTTTTTAAAAAGATTATAATTGTCCTCAGGGAAAAAGTTTGCACCCCTGAAACACCTAGTGGAGTGACACATTAGATACATATTTCATAAATATACACTTGCAGCATCCAGCTTCATCCACATTTTCCTGTTTTAAAGACAATGCACCCCTTAAGTTTGCACTCCATAAAAGCTGCCATAAGGTCTATATTGCACCTCTTAAAATGAATTGCTTCACATCATCACAGTAGCATAAAAATACCTCTTTACCTCACCTAAATCTACCCTGCCTTGTTTAAGTTATGGTGATTTTTGTTAGTTTTGCTCTTCAGCAGACATGAAGAGCATCCTCATCCAACCATATTATCACTTGGTAATTTGAAATAATATTTCTTGGTATTTGAAAGCAAGTCAATATCATTTCACACTGAACTAATTTGGGTACATTACAGAAACTATCCTGTTTTTTCTTCTTATGCTAACAATGAGCTAAGTATCTCCAAACTACGTCATAATTGCATCATTACTATAAACTAGAAAATTTAAACCAGGAATATGTGGCTAGATAGTAAAGCATAGCATAACACTAGCAGAATCCACATACAATCATAAAATTAGAGTAATTAATAATAAGTAGTCTCTGACTTAGTCATTAAAGCAACACTTTCAAAAGCTGTTTGAAAGCAATGGTTTGCATACCAGCTCTAATTGTTCTATATTAAAAGCACTAAGAATGTGTGTATAATGAGGTTAATAAAGAATATGCTTAGATACATAAGCGCTATTTAAATGGTGTGTGTGTGTGTGTGTGAGAGAGAGAGAGAGAGAGAAAGAGAGAGAGAGAGAGAGATCTTTATCCCTTGGCATTCCTCTGTAGCTTAAAAAAAAAAAAGAAAGAAACTCAAAGCTTTTAGTTCTTTCACATTGTGTTTTGTTTGAATTATTGTCATCTTCAAGAACATTGAAACAGCTGCTAGTGGGTGTTGAGAATTGAGTTTGACCTTGCAGTGAGAGGCATACAGTAGAGACTGAGCTGACAAACAGGGAGTGCAGTAATACCAAACTGAGTGGGCATGCAGCATGGCTTAGCAGTTCGGACAGAACAGAATAGAAAGGTTTGTGTTCCTGGAAAAGAAAATAATGTTGCAAGACAGTGAGGTTCTAGTTGAATAAATGGGAAGGAACCAGACAGAAATGGAATCTCAAAGATACAGATCCGCAACACTCAAAATACGCAGATATTCTGATTGCTTTTGTTCAAAGAAAAACTTAGTATTGTTGATCAAAGATTTCTTAAAAATTGTTCTTTGACAAACTTAAGAGCCTTGTAGGACTCCCTGAAAGATAGAGGAGAATTTATCAGTTTAAGATAAATGCTTCAGACTATAATAGTATGTGGCTCACACAGAAAAATCTGCAGAAGCGAAGATTAAGCAACACAACAGGAGGCAAAAGGAGGATGATATAAGAATGGTACTTGTTGAATTAAATCCAAGACTAAGATTTTTCATAATCTATCAAATTAACTTATTTCAAGTAACAGAATCTATTATTAATATGTAATGCTTGTAGAGGTTACATAAAAGCAAATTGTAAAATTGCATGAACAACATTTGAGAACCACATTTTAGAATATGTGTATTGTTTCATCTGCCATTAGTATATCTCTAAAAATATCAGCAACAATGTACGATCACCAAAATCATAGTTTTTAATGAGAACAACAGCTCTGGGGTCTGAAGGGCAGCTATTAGCAGCCTACAAATAGAAAAAAAAATACATGCTAAGAGGTCGTGAGGTGTCTATGACTATAAGGAAAAGTAACAGATAATTAATGTGCATTAATTTCAGATAAAAATAAGCCATTAAAAAAACTAGATGAAACTTGACCCACTTAGGAAACTGTTACTAAAATGTCATAAAAGGCATATTTCAATTTTAACTTCTCTTTTGACTGATAATCCTTGTTCTGTTCTGCTACAAATTAGTTTAGAATGTGTCAAGTTAATACCTTGAAACTATACTTCACTTACAGAAATTCCCTTATCCACAAGCAGTCTTTCCTAATGCCTATCACCTATATTATTGAGAACTACAAACACACAGGAAAATTATTCAAAAGGCCAACTCAGCAAAAATGTCAAATTATTTCATTGATTTTTTTTCTTTTAACAGCAAAATATCTTCTAAAATTTTTACACTATTCTCTCCTTCTTGCCCTCAAGATCATAATAAGAAGCAAAGATGTACAGAAGGCTGACAAACAAAATCTTGTCAAAGTATTGAAAATAGGGCCCAGCGTGGTAGCCTAGCAACTAAAGTCCTTGCCTTGCATGTGCTGGGATACCATATGGGCGCCAGTTCTAATCCCGGTGGCCCTGCTTCCCATCCAGCTCCTTGCTGTGGCCTGGGAAAGCAGTCGATGACAGCCCAAAACCTTGGGACCCTCCTGGCTTCAAATCAGCTCAGCTCTGGCCATTGCTGCTACTTGGGGAGTGAATAAACAGATGAAAGATCTTCCTCTCTGTCTCTCCTTCTCTCTGTATAACTGACTTTGCAATAAAAATAAATAAATCATTTAAAAAATTATTGAAAACAAAATGTACACTGCCTAGCACAGAATGACATCTTGTCATCTTGTAACAGGACTGAGCAAACAGTGGAGAACTTGTGCAGCCTCTCCTGAGTATTTACTTTGCATATCAATAGATTAAAATGGCTCCTATGGCTCTTTGCTTGAATAAAACATTTCTAAGTAGCCTCAAACTACACTCCAACCAAGGTTTATAGATACCGATTTCCTCTGAGCATGCAGAGCTTTCTGTTGTTGATATCTTTTCCTAGAATGCTTACTTTTGCTCCTATCCATCTTCCAGAAGTCTCTAATTTTTTACTACAAGAAAATATTGTCTAATCACTATTAATCACCACCATTCCCAGGACTCTATGAATTTCTCTGTACATTAGACACCTGCATTTTAAAGAGAAGTGTGACATTTAAAACAAAGATTTATTTTGCAGAAGATTCAGAAATTGTTGTTTATAGGATAATATAAAATAAAATGAGTTGGTAAATTTATCCTGAATTACTAAGGAAGTAAAACAGAACCCGAGGCTCTTGTTGGCAAATAACAGAGAGAAAGGAGAAGTAACCAGTACAATATTATGCAAAGAACTAAAACAATACATCCAACACTGAAACAACCCGGATAATGGAGTCATCCGAGAACAATACCACATGGTTTATAATGCATAGTCACAATTGAGAATATTTATTATAAAGAACTTTGAACTCAATAAAACTCTGTGCTACTCCACGCACAATTCTGCAGGTTAAAATCTGTCCAAAATTTCATCGTTACGTTTTCTTTTTTGTAAGTTTTTATTTGTTTGACATGTAGAAAGATGCAGAACGAAAAAGATACAGAACACTACAACCCTTTACTCACACCAGCTGAGGGCGAATCAAGCTGAAGTCAGGTTCTAGGCACTCAGCCTGGATTTCCTCCCTGAGCCACAGGAAGCCAGACCCTTGCATCCTCACACACTGCTTCCCCGGGCTGCACTAGCCAGAAGTTGAGGCTGGGAGTGAAACTAGGGCCTGTCCCAGATCCTCTAAAAAGTAATGTAGTAATTCCAACCAGGGTTGTTCAAAACAACACTACACTAAATGCCTACCTATATCATTGCAATTTTTGTGGGTTTTTTTTTTCCTTTGCTTTATTGATCTTACTATATCTCCTTTTTTCCCTCTTCATCAATGTCATCTTAATAATATTTAAAATATCAGTTTAAGTATTTGATGCTTATATAAGTAAATAGTAATGGAAATATGAATACACCAGTAACAAAGATACAATTGTGAATATATATTTCAGTAATCCTACCTCAAATTTATCATATTGCTCACGGTCAATGCTTCTTGTGCAATAGATGTCTCCAGTTTCTTTCTCTATGTAGAACAAATTTAAGGGTTCTTTGTCCACTCCTTGCCCACTTATGGAATAAAAGACAGTGTAATTCTGTGCAGCATCGGATTGGACCTAAAACAGTAAGTGACTAGTTAGGCATAGAACAAATACATGGTGACAAATGTCTTCAGTCCAACTTTGTGTACTGTTTCATGTCTAGCTTTAACTCTCTTTCCTACTCATCTCTTCTTATCTCTGTTTATGCTTTCTGGATTGTCATGTCTTCTTCTTTGTGCAGACATAGGTTATGTCACTTGCTTGTTCCTAAATTCTTTGTCATCTGCATATTTACAAAATTTGTGAAGTAAAATGCCTTTGCTCTTTCTAGCAACATTTTTAATCCTAACCTATGTGTAGTAACAACTCCAATGATTTCAAATTATTTGAAAGTGATAATTACATGATTCGAAAAATGTATAGTAACACTAATGCAATGCTTCTTCCACAGTTAATTTTTTGAAATGGCAAAACTTTAAAAGCTCCTCATGCTTGTAATCCATCTATGTAACAGATACACAACTTTACTTGGAAACCCCAAAAGTAGACATTAATGGAGGATAAATACTAATTTAAGTGAAAGGTAACTATATGAAATTTGTAGTCATATTTCACGAGGGATAAAAAGCCCAGTGATATAGTATTTGGGTAGATTTGAATGTGTACTACTGGATTTCAGGGACTCAAACTGCAACACTTTTTCAAAATGTATAAAAACAATTTTGAAAAAATAAAACTGCATTGGGTCAGTTCTATGTAGTTGTAATGCTGGAAACTTGATTTCCTCATTTCCACCTGATTCAATATAACATGCAATTAAAAGAAAAGTTAACAAAAAATTGACATCTACGAAGATCAAGTACGGGAAATGCACCTGCTGCACATGCTGTGGAAAGGGACCGAGTGAGTTCTCCATCAGAGAACAAGGAATAGGAGCCCATCTTCTCTTCGTGCGCTTCAGGACTGTGCTTTTAGTATGTCTTTTCCTGACGGTCTGCGTTTGATGAGAAACAAAATAAAACATAAAAATACAGAATTGCTTACCATTCTTGGAATGGGATTCTCACATATACACCAAGGAAGATAAATTAAGTAAGGAGTTATGCATAACAATGCTATGAATATTCTCTGAAGCATTTCTATATTTTTATTACGCACACATACACACAAATCAGACTCCGGACTGACTATTTTCTGCTCTGTCTCGACCACTGAAACAGTAAGAATTTACCATATCTTGAGAAAGATGACATCTAGAGATGTTATGTACCTCCCTAAAATAGATAATTCATCAATAAATATTTTAAAATTGATTTTATTCTACTAGATGTGGCATAATAAAAATCCATTTAAATCCTTGCTACAGTGCAAGTATTGATATAGCCACATAAAAACATAGGGCATAATTTGTTAGTATGTTTACTTAGGTACATTTCAGTTGTTTGCAACTAAAATGCAAAATCACATTTCTGTTCAACCTAAAGAATGTTTTAAATTCAGGAGACTTTCTGTAAATGGAAAGAATTTCATTGTGAAACCCTGTTTAAGTTGAATCACATTTTATTACATTGATTTCATGAGATCATAATCATTGTACTGATTTTGCCTAAAGAGATGTCAATTGCGACAGGCCTCTGCCTTCCCACTTCCAGGACCATTCACCACTAGTCACTTCAAAACAAAGAGCCAAGAGTTAAAAACAAGATCTGTGAACTGGCCCTGCCTCCACTCTCTGAAGTGAGAAACTTTTTTTTTTTTTATAAAAGTGAGAGTAAACTTTAGACAATCTCATCTCCTCTTCTGGTGACTCAAGTCCACTGTGGGAGCGACTGTCACAGCTCCTGCTGATTCACTTTTCTCTGAGCCAGAGACCCGCCCTGCCTTGGCCTTGTTGTTCAAGTAGGTTATCCTGGCGGCCACACCTCAACACACTCTGAAACCTAGAATTTTCTGCCTAGGCTTCCTGGCTATGGAGTCCTTCATCTTCATACATTTTTGTAAATAGCAGTACTATTTCTTAAGAATCTAGTCGGCATGCACATTAATTATAAGTGGGAAAGAACAAACAGTCAATTAAGACCAATGATTTTAATCTGAAAGGATGAGTACAAAGTGAAAAATCCTCATATGTGGATTAAAATCTTGGGTTACTGAAGAGCTTCGTATTATACCTCTTCCCCTCTGGCTGACAGTTCAATCTCCATCTCTTTTTGTTCCCGACTCTCAGAGTCTGAGAGAAAAATGGAAAAGCTCTTCCTTTCAGAAGACAAAATGAGGTCATGCGTTGCGTAAATGGAGCCATCTTCTAGAATTCGAAAGGCAGGGTCACTAGACAGGATTAGGCTGGCCGACTTGAGGCACTCCTCCAGATTCACTGCGGGGAAGAAATTTCACAGCAATTTGTCAGATAACACAGGAATAAAACAAGTTGTGCAGGAATGGTAACTGCAAGTCGGTGCATGAGCTGCCGATGAAGGGTGATTACACTCGAGCACCTGCTATTCTAAAACTTAGGAGCCACGAAAATTAAACAGCTCAGTCAAGAGAGTCATATTTTCTAGCTCTTCATTATCGATTCACCTGAGAAAGTCTTTCCCTAATATAACTGAATTTATGCTGCTTTCACCATATTTTTTTTCTGAATTTGCTTGTGTGTATGGTCTTTAACTTGACAATTGTTTGACTTATGATTGTGCAAAAGTCTTGCTCATGGAGGTGGAAACTTACTTGAAATTATGAATTTGGATGTTTTTCTGAGCTACCAGTATGTGGTAGGATGCCTTCTTAGGATACTAAGCAGTTATGAATTGCACAATCATGAAGGGAAACTGCCAACTCTGTATTCTTCCATGTGGTTAAGCCATGACCTTTGCTAGGTCAAGTGTACAAAAATCCATTTTCAATTTAGAATAGATTTATCAAATACAATCCATTGTGAATTAAGGCGTAAGTGTGTATGGATGTGCTTGTGTGTGCACACATGTGCGAACATGCAGAGGTAGTTTTGATGTTTATGACACATGTTTTATAACTGTATGACAAATCAGTGGATTTTGAACTTGGTTGCAATGCATCTTCAACGACTAAAACCACCTGGCTACAAGCAAGTGGCCTAGTCCATGTTGAAAGTTGTAGGAGTTCTCCATAACACAGAAAATAATCTTATTGGAGAAGGAATTCACCCTAGTGATTAAGACACAAATAAGTTAAGGCATCTTTTTCCCACATTGGAATTCCTGCCTCAGTATTGGGCTCTGGTTTCTTCCTCCAGGTTCCTGCTAAAGCAGACCTGCAGGATCCGCAATGACAGCTCAAGCAACAGCTCCCCCCTACCCCCGTGTGACAGCATTACATTGCATTCTCTGTGTGGTTTTGAAGTTGAAGGCATTTGGAAAGTAAGCTAGAGTATGGACACTCTTTTTCTCCGATTCTTGGCTCTCAAACACATTTATAAATAATACACTTTTTTCCATTTTCAATGTCTTCTTCTATTTCTTTTTTTAATGACTTTTATCTAGACAATGGGATGCTAGGCTGTCTGACACTGTACCAGCAATATCGGGCACACTTAAATAACATACTGATGGACTTATGATTGCTTACGAAGGACTATACTATCGTAATAATATGGGCAAAATCAGTCGGGAGGTAGGAATTCAAGAGGGGGTGAAGAAATTCCAGACCTAAGGAATTGTATCAGAAAATTCAAAATTAAAAAAAAATTTAAAAACAAAAAAATATACTTTTAAAAATAAAACAATATTTCTAGACTTTTTGAGGTTTGGTAAAGCTAAAGCTTGGTATTTGGTTATTATAAAATGTTTTCTACACAGATTCATACTTAACCTCTGTAGCATATTTGCTATGCTTCTTAGTAGTACAAATCATCATTTAAATAGTTTTCAAACATTTAAAACCTCAAAGTATTAGACAAAACTATCCCCATCTTGGAAAGGATAGTACCTCAGATGTCCAGATTGGAGATTTGTTTTTCAAATGAAAACTCAAGGTTAGTGAAAATTCTGATGGAAGGAATGTCACCCTTGGACTTAGAATACAAACCTGGCCTGCCCTCAGGGGTGATATTTGTTGTAAGATGCAGCAAAATTGTATCTGTCTAGTATAATCTGTGCTGTGAAATAGATCATATAAAATCTCGGTGAGAACACGTGCATTGTGATTAACCTCATTGAATAATTTGATGCTGATATTTAAATTTTGGCACATGAGTTTCATGTATAATCTATTGAAGAATCCTGAATTTGATCTAAACTGAAATAATTCAGTCATCTTGTGTGTGTGTTAATCTTACTTGACAAGAATAGTATATGCTAATGTTGGTAATGCATTTATTGACTAGTACCAAAGAATCAAGTAGTTTATCTTTTAATATGCCCAATAGAAATGCCATATAACCAATACGTGGCTTTCACCCCAAAATTTACAAGAACTGCTTGAAGAGATAATATAGCGTGATACAGCCACTGCCTGCTTAACACCATGTCTCACCTTTGCCAATCAGTGTTTCAGCCTGAAGATGAGGAGGAACCTGAAGAGAAATTTTCTGACAAGCATCGCAAAATAATAGCAGAACCTAAAAAGAAAAGGGACAGAAAACTCAGAAATTGTTTTTGTACGCATATTTTCAAGCTACACTTTCACTAACAAAAGACTATCAACTTTGGAAATAAATATTTTAATTTCTTAAATATTCATTTCAAAGGGACACTAGAGTAATTTAGAATCAGTAAAAAAAAGTGGACAGAAATTCTTGGAATTTAAATTATAGTTATAATTACAAGAGAACATGCTACCCTTTACTTATTGACATTTTATAGAGGCTGTTGCATCTTGATCATTCATGAATGTCATTCAGATTATTTTGACATAAAGAAAAGAGTTAACCCTGTAATCCCAATATCCCATATTTGTACAAATTCTCAATCCATTTTTTTACTATCTGAAGGTATAGTTGACAAGGTATAGATCATATGGCATGCTATTTTAACCTCATGAAGAATAGCATTCATAAAGATTAAATTCTCAAATCACATTACAGACTGATTTGGCATAAACATTCTAAATATAACTGCAAATTACACAACTAAACTAAAAATGAATTTAAAGTAGAATGGTTACCATTCAAATGGTTATGAATTTTAATTGTACTCAAAGCACAACTTTAAAAGGCAACAGTCCAAAGAAAACAGATATTATTAAAAACAAATATAATTTGTCAATTTGTAGATATCTATAATTTCAAGAAATATTTACTTCTATTTTCTGTTTACTTTCTTTTTGCTTTATCAAAATGACTATGTTTTGGTTCTAAAATATAAAAAGAAAAATGCTAGATTTCCAAGAAACATGTAGGCCAATTTTATGACAAGCTTTTCTCTGATGTTATATCCCAGAGGTATAGATATATTGTTTGCACTGAGGAAAGAGAAGAGATTAAAACTCATATCAAAAATTTGCTCTTGGGCCCAGCACGGTAACTTAGTGGCAAAAGTCTTCACCTTGCATGTATCAGGATCCCAAATGGACACTGGTTTTAATCCTGGCAGCCCTGCTTCCCATCCAGCTCCCTGCTTGTGACCTGAGGAAGCAGTCGAGGACAATCCAAAGCCTTGGGATCCTGCACCCACATGGGAGACCCAGAAGAGGCTCCAGGCTCCTGGCTTCGGATTGGCTCAGCTCCAGCTGTTGCAGGTGCTTGGGGAGTGAATCATTGGACAGAAGATCTTCCTCTCTGTCTCTCCTTCTCTCTGTGTATTTGATTTTCCAATAAAAAAATTTTTGTTTAATTTACTCTTTACTTCCAACTCACTTCAAGTCTACTGGAAATCTAGTAGCAGTCTACTTACATAGCTTATATAATTCTATAAATTTTCATCACGAAATACTAAAAGTCACATTTGCATTTGGTTTAAATAACCACTTTTTAAAATGACATATTTTTATTGTTATGACTATTGTATGTTCATTCCTAACGTTAAGAAATGTACTAAATTATATCTAAAGAACTTTTGAGCATAAAGCATGCTATTAGTAACACTCTAAACATAAAGTAGCATTTTGTAATTAGACATATATAATTATATACATACATAAATCTGCCATATACCTATATTTAAGTATATATGATGGTAGCTATAGACAAGCACACATACATGTACATGCACATGCATGACATTCTCTTAGGATATATCTATCCACTTCCCACTCTCCCCCTCATCGTTCCTCCCCAGCCCAGTTCCTCCCCCTGAAGTGGAGGTTTCCAGTCATTAGCTCCTATTCCAATCGTCTGGAAAAATCAGTAGTCAGACATCATTTTAGTCAGTGAAAGCGTTAAGGACAAATGGGCCGGAGATGAGTCGAAGGACTTGGGGCACCACAGGGAACCAGGACCGTGAGAAATCTGGGTAAAATCCCTCGGGAAATGTTCACCATACTGTCTCATGTCACTCGGAGATGGCCCAGAGGTCTGTCCTCCTCAAGCCGTTTTAGGTTGAGAAGTGCACCTGCAATGGTGCATCATGCATTATATATGTGGAGAAAATGTTCATCCCTATGCAGGCAGGACTTCCAGTTCTAAATACATATTTTGAAGTTGAAACATTCTGCTAAAATGAACACAAGGAAAGAAATTCATAGCTTTGAAGTGCCAAATGGAGATGTGAATGAAGCAACGCCCCATCCACTATCCCCATGGAGAAAAAAAAAAAAAAGCTATAACAGTTGCAAAGCTGTTAAAATCTCAAAGGAAGTTAAAGTCTTTCCAAAGACTGTTCCAGATTTCTCTTTTATTGTTCTTAAGTTAAACTTTTGGCTGCAACTCAAAGTGCTGCCCTTCACTTGGCTCTTCTTGGAGAAAAAAAATGAAAAAAAAATCCTGAATAATTCATATTCCCATCCAAAACCCTTTTCCTTCTCTTGTGGCTCCATGGAACTCAGCATGTTGAATTATATGAACTTACTGAGCTAGTGAAGAGACCCTCAACATCTTCTGGGCTAAATGCCAGTGGAATGAATTCACACCGCTACTCCTTAGAAAAAGCACTCCAGTGACACCAAACAGGACATTCAGCTGGAAAACTTGAACATCCTGGGAGTGATGCTGAACACTTCCCTTCCTGGAGCAGACATCCCACAATTCTTTCTGAATTTTTCTCAGCTCTGTTTATGTTTTCCCTGGCTTCCCACCCACTCTTCTTGTCTCTCACAAGACCCATCTGGAAAGAGGGAGCAGGCAGCAGCATGCTTCCAGTTCCCTAATCCTTTAGTGGTTACTCACCAGCAGAGCAAAAAGTAGCTGCTTACAGAAGGTGTTCCCTGGGGCGGCACAGGCCAGAGCCATCGGATGCACTCCCAAAGGCCAGGGCTGGTGAGCAGCGACGAGGGGCGTCTGGGATGCACAGGGCAGCTAAGTAGATGACAGCCTGTGGATGGGATGTTCTGCTGCCACCCTGGCCCAGATGAGCTTGCTTTGGAAGACAATCAGGAGCCAGTGACAAAGGACAAGCAGTGGCAGCAGGATTGTTTTGCTCCTAGAGTCTGATCAGCCTTCCTCTTCCAATTCTATTCCTTCAGGATGAACAGAGGTTTGCCTTCAAGTGGGGAGAGTGAGGCTAAGAACAACCCAAGCCTAAACCCTAGCTCCTCCTCACAGCAGCTTTCAAAATTTCTCCTGCCACTTAACACATAGGCCCAAGCGGGAGGGAACACCCTCCCCCTTCAGCCCTCCTCCTTCCCCCTCGGGTTGATGCAAGGAAGTCCTTCCCAGTTATTACCCCCTCCCACGGCCTCCCCTCATTCCTGCCCTTATTAACCTGCCCTCCCCCCTGGGTACAAATGCAAATTGTGCACGAATTCCCTGCGAGGAAGTGATGCCTCCTGAGCTGGCATTGGCACATCAGGGGACATTAGCAGGTGCAATCACATCCACCAGTCGTTATCTTCTCATCTGAGCATTTAGGTGTAGTCTGCCACATACAGCACTGGGGTTCTGCCAGAAACCCAGCAGCAACTGTGCACACACACTGTGTCTCCACCTATAGGCTCTCTACTGTGGTGTGGTCATCTAAATGTCACAGAGAACTTACCACAATTGTCTAGATCTCACAAAAGGAAAATATTATAAAGAGTCAGTATATAATTTTCTCACTGTTTTCCTTTCATTACACATGAAGTTTGGGGGGTTTTTTGGTTTGTTTTTAATCTTTATCTCTTTTCAGGAGACCATGTCTCTTTAAATTCCTGCCATTTTCTCTAACTGCTTGTACACTGACATATAGGAACTGATGTTGCAATGACAGAATGGTGCCCTCAAATTTAGGGGGGGGTTGAATATTAATTTTAGAACTCACACAATGGGAACAATTCAGTGAACTCAAAGGTTTTTGACTGCACTCAGCAGGGGTGTTGGAAGTCATCAGAGGACAATAAATATTTTCAGAAGTTAAATGCTTACTTTGAGAAATATTCAAGGAATTGGAACTCACATTATTGAAGCATCGCTACAAATTAGAAATCATGACAGACATTTCCAGGCCGAGCAGGAGTCCTCTTAGGAGATGACAAAATCACAGAAGAGTAAAATAAGTATTTGTCTTTTTTGAACAGTGACGTACAGAGTGTGGAAAAGCAGCTATTCAAACCCAGGTCTGTCCGCCACCAAAATGCTACCCTTATTTTTATTTGTATCTCTGTTTTGTAGAAGTTTTTCTTTAAGGATATACAAACACCTTTATTAGCTGAGCAGTTATTATAGGAATGTGACCTCTGCTAGAAGATGGCTTTTTTATTATTAATATTATTGGAAAAGGCAGATATACACAGAGGAAGAAAGATCTTTGATCTACTGGTTCACTCCCCAAGTAATTGCAATGCCCAGAACTGAGTTCAATCTGAAGCCAGGAGCTTCTTTTGGGTCTCCCATGTGGGCACAGGGGCCAACGGCTTCGGACCATCCTCTTCTGCTTTCCCAGGCTGCAAGCAGGGAGCTGGAAAGGAAGTGGAGCTACCTGGAGATTTCAGCACACACAAAGCAAGGATCCAGCCACTGAGCCACCCTGCCAGGCCCGGAAGATATCTTCATATAGGAAGAAAAAGAGGACAGAAACCTTAAGATTTTTTTTTTAATTTGACATTTCTTAAACATAGAGTAAAAGCAGACACCAAAGCTATTATTGGTACTTAGCAATTAAGGGAAAAATTTATAGGAAAAATTCTCAGTTGAGATAGAGTTCATTTGAATATGAGAATATAGTACAATCTGTTTTTCCACCACAGATTTATGGTCATAGTCATGCAGAGTTTTTAAATGTGAAGAGCAACATGACTCTTGCCATTTGTTTAGTTTTAGGATTAATTACATTAATTAAATACAACATATCTGGTAACTTAATGAATATGTTTCATGGAAACAGAGTGACAAATTTTACAAGAGTTGTTTATGAACAGCCAGCTTTCAGAAATAGATGGTTGTGAATCGCCTTAAAGTCTCAAAACAGCATTTACAGAGACAACTACAGTCTCCGTGAGGTGACTCATTTTATTCTAAATTGTCAATCTCCAGGGATGTTAGACATATTGATGAAACATTCATAAAACACTTTATTTTAAATGCACATGGCTGAAGAGGACAGAAACTATAACCTTAAGACCATGTTGTATGATCTGAGTATGAGGAAAGCACCTTCAATTCCATGAGTTAAAATTACAAGTACAGACCGATCTCTGATACTTACAAGCAATGGTTTCTTATGGCTGGTTCTTATTTGCATTGAATGGTTTCTTACTTGCATCAAATACTGATTAATTTTACACAAAATGACCTTTCCCCATTATTATTGAAAACACTGGTAGACTGAGAAGGACAAATGTTAGCACACTGCCCTACATAATTTAAACTCCATGCTGCAAACCATCCCAACTCACAATCCTGAAGAGACTCTAAAGAAAACAGAAATCATTGACAAAAGAGCACTTGTGAGGACTAGAAAGTTCAGGGAGAACCTGTATTCAGCGGTAGTGTTCTCTGTCTTCTACCTCTGCCTTTCTTTGTGCAGGTTTCATTATCATTCAGCTGTCCCAATGTGAAGGCTTTAAAGTTCCATCCTATTCAGGTAGCAATCCATTGCTGAATGAGCTTATCTTTCTCCTAATAGTTTGAACAAAACACACCCCTTTTCCATGGATCTTACACATAAGTAAACAGTTAAGGGTTGGGCTACCCCACTTGCCCAAGAAGCTTTGGAGAAGTCATTGCCCCAAGACTCTTGGGTGCTACAGACAGAATAAGGGAGAAAGCGGAATAACAGAACAATCAGTAGATATTCACTAAGCTTACATTTTCTTTACTGTCACTTCAGTAACACCTGTCAATGATATAACCATTATTTATTTTTAATTTTTTATTGTTATTAACATTGTATTATGTGAAACAGTTTTATAGGCACTGGGGATTCCCCCTACCCCTTACATACCCCTCCTCCCATAGTGGATTCCTCCACCTTGCTGCATGACCACAGTTCAAGTTCAGTTGAGATTCCTTCATTGCAAGCATATACCTAGCATAAAGTCCAGCGTCTTATTATCCAGATAAGTTCAGTGGCCTCTTGGGGAGACCTTCTCTGGTCTGAAGGTAGAGCTAACAGAGTAAAGTTCCGGTCAGTTAAAAGCCCCAACAAGATGTTTTTACTTTTATTTGAAAGGCACATCTTACAGACAGAGAGGAGGAGAGTTAGAAAAAAATGTCTTCCACTCACTGACTGGTTCATTCCCTAAATGTCTGCAATGGCCAGAGCTGAGCTGATCTCAAGGTAAGAACCAGATCTACCATGTGGTCTCCCATGTGGATGCAGGGGCCCAAGGACTTGGGGTATCACCCTGCAGCTTTTCCAAGCCACAAGCAGAGAGCTGAATCAGGAGTGGGCAACCAGGACACAAGCTAGCATCCATACGGGATGATGGCATTGGTAGTTGCAGGATTAGCATTCTGTGCTACCACCCCTCTGCCCCCTTCAACCCTCAATTATTAAACCTTCTACATTCCAGCCAATATCCATAGAGCTGGACATACTCTCTGTTCTTTGAAGCTTAAAATTTACTATGAGTATTTGTTTTCAAAAATAGCTAATTTTTTTTTCATTGTCAGGATCAACATCCAAGTGACAACAGGATAATAGATAGCCTACATCTGTTTTCCTTCTGCTTCTCCCAATTATTACTTTTTGGTGGTACTAAAAATTCACTGTTTCAAAACTGTTCAAGTTTTTATTGTATGTGGATAGAATTTTTCTATCAACTCTTTGTCTTGCATGTTATGACATTGCTAAATGTTGACTTAAAGATGAGAATAAACTCACTGTTTAAATTTTGTAACATAGGAAATTAGGAAGGAAATCATATCTGTAGTCTGAAAGTAATCTTCTATTGTCATTCGTTCCAGTTTAGTTTGTGTATATAGACTTTTCAACACTGTTACATTGTGCTATTAATTTAATTTTGCAATGTACTTCTTCCCTTGAATATCCTGTACCATGACATTTGTCTAACGTCATAACAAGCCCTATACCAATGCCATGTTAGCAACTGTAATAAAGTTAATTCAAATTAATACAACACAACTGACTTATTTAATATCTTTTGTATTTTATGCATTTAAGTTGTTCTCAGTTTTAGATTTCCATGAAGAGTGTTGTCATATTCAAATGTGTTTCAAGATTCAGTATGATTTCCTGAGAGAGATTCATAATTAAAGTTCTGTATCAAAATATAAGGTATTGATTGATACTTAATATATAAAGTCAACTTGTATCAGAAAAGTAGAGTAGCAAGGCATATGCTCACTAGCAAACAAAATGCAAGAACAAATTAGAATTGAATAATGCGATATCATTTTTTAAATCCCACTGGTTTTAAGCAAGAAATTATAATCATAATTTGAAACATTTACCTTATCAAAGCTATGAGCATTTAGCCAGTGCTGTCAAGCCATTAAATTTCCTCTTCTGATGCAAATGCACTTTGCAAATTCATACTTCGATGAAGATATTTAAAACAGATCGACCCAGCTAATAATTCAAATTTTCATTTCAATGGAGTTTTCTTTTTTGAGCTGAGGAAATTGTGACCTCTTTTAATTTCTAACCTTAATCACATCTTTATACTTAAATTTGATGAAAGGGAAAAGTGACTTTGCCTCTTAAATCCACTGAAACCTTAATCTTATTTTCTGATGTGACAACCACAAAACTCACGCAGCACTTTACAAATCGGTTTGCAGGCGTGGCTGAGATATAACCGTTGTCCTTAATCCAGCAGCTGTGATGTACATTCAGAAGGATCACTTTT